GCGAAGAACTGATAAGGAGCATGCATCAGCTTCTTTGTAAAATATGGTCGGACGAAAGCATGCCCAACGATTGGAATTTAAGTGTGCTATGCCCAATCCACAAAAAAGGAGACCCCACAATCTGCGCCAACTACCGTGGGATAAGCCTCCTCAATATTGCATATAAGGTTCTATCGAGTGTATTGTGTGAAAGATTAAAACCCACCGTCAACAAACTGATTGGACCTTATCAGTGTGGCTTCAGACCTGGAAAATCAACAACTGACCAGATATTCAMCATGCGCCAAATCTTGGAAAAGACGCGTGAAAGGAGAATCGACACTCACCACCTCTTCGTCGATTTTAGAGCTTCTTTCGACAGCACGAAAAGGAGCTGCCTTTACGCCGCGATGTCTGAATTTGGTATTACCGCAAAACTAATACGGCTATGTAAACTGACGTTGAGCAACACCAAAAGCTCCGTCAGAGTCGGGAAGGACCTCTCCGAGCCGTTCGATACCAAACGAGGTTTCAGGCAAGGCGWCTCCCTATCTTGTGATTTCTTCAACCTACTTCTGGAGAAAATAATTAGAGCTGCAGAACTAAATAGAGAAGGTACCATCTTCTATAAGAGTGTACAGCTGCTGGCGTATGCCGATGATATTGATATCATCGGCCTCAACACCCGCGCCGTTAGTTCTGCTTTTTCCAGAATGAATAAGGCAGCAACACAAATGGGTCTTGCTGTGAACGAGGGCGAGACGAAATATCTCCTGTCATCAAACAAACAGTCGTCGCACTCGCGACTAGGCTCTCACGTCACTGTTGACAGTCATAACTTTGAAGTCGTAGATAATTTCGTCTATCTTGGAACCAGCATAAACACCAGCAATAATGTCAACCTGGAAATCCAACGCAGGATAACTCTTGCCAGCAGGTGCTACGTCGGACTGAGTAGGCAATTGAGAAGCAAAGTCCTCTCTCGACAAACAAAAACCAAACTCTATAAGTCACTCATAATACCCGCCCTGCTATATGGTGCAGAGGCTTGGACGATGACAACAAGTGATGAGTTGACGTTGCGAGTTTTCGAGAGAAAAGTTCTGCGAAAGATTTATGATCCTTTGCGCGTAGGCCACGGTGAGTATCGCATTCGATGGAACGATGAGCTGTACGAGATATACGACGACATTGACATAATTCAGCGAATTAAAAAAAAAAAGCGGCTACGCTGGCTAGGTCATGTTGTTCGAATGGACGAAAACACTCCAGCTCTGAAAGTATTCGGCGCTGTACCCGCTGGGAGAAGCAGAGGAAGAGGAAGACCTCTACTCCGTTGGAAGGACCAGGTGGAGAAGGACCTGGCTACGCTTGGAATATCCAATTGGCCCCACGTAGCGAAAAGAAAAAACGACTGGCGAGCTGTTGTTAACTCGGCTATAATCGCGTAAGCGGTGTCTACGCCAATTAAGAAGAAGAAGTTTTGTTTGGTTATTGTTGCTGCACATTATTGTAATAACGGTGTAAGAATCAAAATAATTTAAGCGTTTTTGGTAAAATACAACGGAAGAGTAGGCGAATTCCGATTTCTTTGGCCCCGCGATCTGAAGGTACCGTTGGCAAGAGTATCCGGCAGACTACCATCGCATTATCGAATATTCAATATTATTCTATTTTAATTTTAGTTTATCGTGACTGTTGGTGCTGCGATCAAATTTAGAAAAATATTTTGTAGTTTTGTGTTATTATTGTGTGATTTTAAGTCGTGTGCTGATTAAAATATTATATCAAAATATAATTAATGTTCGAAGAGTTTTGAATTGTACAGAAAAATCTGTACATCTTGCGAATTTAGTGCGGAATTGAAGTTAGTTTATTTCTTAAATTTTTTTTTATTAAATTTACACGTGCATTCATTAACAATTAAGCTAACCTACAAATTAATTTATACAGCTCATTGATTTCACAACGAATTTTTTTATTAATGTTGTTATTAAATTTTTTTGAAATAATTAATAAACAAAAGCAAAGAAACAAAATTACACGTTTTAACAAATATATATGTATATATATATATATATTCTATTTTATAATAAATCTGTTTAATTAATTAATTTMAATTCCATCTTCATAAGTAACTGAAACAGTCACTTTTTTTTACAGAAAAATACCACGTCTTCGTGAAGAGCAAGAAATATTGGTCGACTTACTCGTATCGCGCATTCGGTTGATGATCGTCGATTTAGTAGCTCAGTCAACGAACAATCGGCAGATAATATAAATTTAAGAATTCAAGTTGAAATAAAAATTGAGGGCAACGCACTCCACGTATTCGTGTTAATACCTTAAGGTGCACGAGGTGCACGTCAACAAGCGCTCATAGAGAATATAACCAACGATGAGTGCAGGATAATCGAGCATTGGAACGAGCATCACTTAATCGTCTCGTTTGAATATGATCCTGAAATAAACTTTTCAACACATCCATTAATCACGATTGGTGGTATGGACAAAGAGTGTCAACATTGTTATGCTTTCAAGTACAAAGGTGAAACAGCTGGTTTATGGCATTTGGGAAAATGTCATTTCTACCGCTCATCAAAACAGAAAAAGTGCCCTATGGAGAGCACGCAGCACATGTAATGTTGAAACTATTAATGAAGTTACAGTTGTTATGGCTGGTGACCCTTGTGAACGTCGAAACGCTTGCAAGATTGCAAGTGAAGAACTTATGAAGACAGCTAGTGTTATGAACTTCTACGCATATCGGTTGATGATTCATGCAAATGAAGCCAATAACATTCTCCGATTCAGAAAACTATTTCATCAGTACATTGTAGATATGTGTGTAAAAATCGAAATTGAGAGATTGCGACCAATGAAATTTAATCAAGCAAAACTTCGTACTGCAACAAATGACTTCAACAACATCGGTACTGCATATGTCCTTTCATCATTATATATTGATTGTTCAATATGAAAGAATACATTAAAGACGCTATGACTTACGTACGTGCATACGGCATCTTTGAAAAATTTTATTACACATCGGTACTGGGTGAAACACGTTGTTGGCTTTACCCTGTTCAATGAAAAAAACAAGGTTAACCTCATGCGCATATTTTAATTTGTCCATTCTCTCAAGGTTAATTATATGTTCCAGAGTTGGAAAACGATCGAATTTGTTTGTTTATACGCCTCACGGATTAACCAAAATTATTGCACATACAATGGCATTACGATAAACTAAGTTTATGCAAATTACAAAAAGTATATAACAAGAAGTTCGTTCTTTTCAAATTGATTGAACTGTGATAAGTATGATACACACATTTCCTTGGTAGAAAAAAATTCCTTGATAGGCGTAATCGGAAAATCACCCACAAAACGCTATTAATTTAAAACGTATAAAGTGTCTTAACTAAGGACTAAATTAAGTTATAGACGCAGGGGATCGCAGTAGCAAGAGGCACCTTTGGGCTAAAAACTTGGATAAGGTAGGTGTGGCCAAGTTTAATGTACATTAACTACTTAAGTTACAATAACCAAATTCACATAAGACAAATTCCTTAAGCACCCCAAATGACACTGAGAAAATGGATGAAAACAAAAGATAATCCCGTCCACTCCCAATATAACGGTTCTGTTAAAAACTCCTAAAAGTGTGATTAATCAATAACTAAAAAAAAAAAAACTTCGACCGAGATGGTATTAGAGGGTTTTATTGGAGCCAGTGTAAAAATTGGACAATGATCCTAGCACTGCCCACTATTAGATCACATATCTCGTAACGCGACGAACCGTTTCGGCTAAATTTAGTGCATGGCATTGTTCTCACATTCCTATGCATGGACTAAATCGGACTACAACTACGCCTACTTCCCATTTAAATTAAATTCTACTTGATCCTTTCACTTACCAATACACAAATCAAGAGCAATTAATATATTGAATTAAAACCTTGCACTAATAATTTCGTTAACGTATGCCACCATATGACGAAACATTGTCTTACCAATCTATTCAACCGAATATGTGGACTCCAGTATCTATAGTTGACTTTTGACCGAAAATATCGGTCAATTCGGGAGATATATTAGGTTGCCAAAAAAGTCTTGCGGTATTTTCGCTAGTTGGCGCTGAGAGCGCGAGAAATGTAATGTGTTGAATTGAAAAGCTTAAGCTGTTCCTTCTTGCTTTATTCAGGTGAATCTTAAGACTAACTAACTTTACATTTCTTATTAGTTTACTTACTACTTATCCTAATTCTAACTGTACTAACATTCTTTGTTAGTTCGCCTCTAATATTAGGATAACTGTTGTATCGTTCCATATTAGCTTGTTTACNATATTAGCTTGTTTACTTATATATATTTATATATATATATGTATTATATATATATATGTATATATATATATATATTTATGTTTTTAGTTGAGTTGGCGTTAGCATACCCGAAATACGTTCACTCTCTTATTCCACAACTAAGCCTAATGTGGAACCCAATTCTATGTTAGTACGATATTAAGCATTTACAATACACATATGTATATATATTATTACTAGATGTTTAGAGTATACGAATGTAACTCGCGTAGTTCTAGTTTTATTCGTCGCATCGGGTCATGCTATACCTTTTTGGAAAGCTCATTTCACGCGCTAACGCGTGTTTTATTGATTGTCGTTTCTTTTAAGTCGTTTGTGCGTTATAGCTTCGCAAACATGGAGCAAAATAAAGAGAAAATATGGTTACAGTACTACTACGATAAAGGCAAAAATTCATCTCAAGCCGCCAATAAAATTTGTGCAGTTTATGGACCCGATACAGTTTCCATTTTCACCGCACAACGATGGTTTCAACGTTTTCGTTCTGGTATAGAGATGGTCGAAGATGCGCCACGCTCTGGAAGGCCTGTCGTCGAAAATTGCGATAAAATCGCTGAATTGGCCGAAAGAGACCGGCATAGTAGCAGCCGTAGCATCGGTCAAGAGCTGGGCATGAGTCATCAAAAAAAATTTTATGAACAGTTGAAAATTCAATAGAAATACCGCAAGACTAATATAATGGAAGTTCAGAGAGAATCTTTTGTTTATAATAGTTATTCTGTTTATGAGAAATGAGTTAAATCGAGTCAAAACTTCGCTGATTACCTCATGTTAATAAATAATCTGACCAATTATCGTCTAAACAAGATCCCAAAAAATACCGAGATATAACAAACTATGAGATATGCTGAGTGAAAGAAGCTTCTAAAAAAATCTTTTATCAACAAAATAGTTCTATCGTGCTAATTTGGAGTTTGCGAAGCCTCTCGTATATACAACATTATTCTATTTTTTGAAGGGAAGACTCTTTTGGCGGCAAACCATGCTTGAAGACATCAACCATTCACAATTATTTGCAGCTGACGCTGACCGACCTCCCAATAAAGCATTCAGAAAAATCCCATGGCAGTGAAGCTCATCATCGTACCCTCCACTGGCAATCAATAAGATTCTACTGCAGTTGTTTTGATAACTGAAGCTGAGATTGCGTCGCAGCAGTTGTCGGCGTCACATGTTACAAACTCGTAGAAAAACCTCTCTCTCTGATACAACAATTGCAACAACAAATCACCTCAATACATGGTTTTACGTTGGGGGTGGAAACCTTTTTCTGTTAATTCCAAGTTTAGACAGCTGCAACAGTTCGCACAAACGACAATGAATCGCATCAAACAAGAAAGTGGCAATTGTGCCAAAAGCTCCACGCAATATTTGTGGTATGTACATGCTCTCCTACACTAAAACGCGATGAGTATTGCAGTTGCATTGGATAGAGAAACTGTTTAATTGGTTAACTTATTTCTGGCATACCCGATATTACGTGGATATTTATATAAATTTTTATTGAAATAATAATTGTATTTCTTTTTTGGTTGCAGCAGGCAAGATTTAGAGAAATGTTTCCAAACAAGAACTTATTATAATAATGCCAAGATCGGGTGCATTCGAACATTATATATCCTTGCTTGCTAAGATCAAAAATCGGGAAATTCATTCAGGTGCTGGAAAACGTCTTAAGAGAATTAAATATCTATTATTCGATGGAATCATGAATAGATTATATAAATACAAAAAAATACTCCCTTCATCAAGACTATTCACATATAATCACCATCAAATAGAGCGAAGTCAGCCGGATGTTCGAACATTCTGATTTTAGTTATATAGGGCCAGATTTTCGCAAAATTTGATCTATTTTAAAGATACAATGTTATGAATAAAATACTCCTTGTTATTTTCATTGAGATAGCTCACATGCCGATATATGAGATATAAAGTCGAACTTCCCGAAAATCTTCTACCCATTTTTAACACATTGACCGATTTTTTAAGTAAAAAGTCAACTGTGGGTACTGCGCTCCACATAATCGATCGGCTTGAAGTTTTGGTCCGATTTGGATAAATTCTTGTCATAAGATGAGATAGTATTTCAAATGCAATATTCGTGCAAAGTTTTATATTATTATATTAATTAGTATTGATTTGTATACCGGAAAGTGAAAGAATCAAATGGAATTTAAAATTATGTTATGTAGAAGAAGACGTGGCTGATTTTCGCACTGTGGCATTGAAATTATATTAAATGTTAACTAGTCTGATGTATTTAGTTTATATTTAACAATACTATTGGAGAGTGAGCGGGGTCATGAACCGCTCATCCATTTTCCCTATCGGTAGGGGTTCTTTTAGGATTTATCTCGGGGAATTTGGTTATTTTAGCTTTACTGGTTTGGGAGGTATGTATGCATCAATTAGGGTGCGGGAACACACTCTTTTTTCCAAAATTTTGGCTTTGCCAAATCGATATCTTAATTTAGCGCCTAGTTAAGGCATTTCATATCCGGATTTCAACTCGTCTCTTCATTCCTGGTCATTTATACATGTACTAGTATATTTAACCCTATACTAACTCGAATAGTTTTTTTTTTTACAAATCGTTAAGTGAACAAGACTATATAAACATTTGAACATGCAGTTTAAAATCCTCCCATCTGCAATTATTTTAAAATTATTGACTAATTCGAATTTTGGCGGCAGCGAATGTGTTGATAATCCTGAGATCCTACCCTAAACGAGCATTATCGATGAACATTTTTGATCCTTGCTAAAGCAGTAAACGTACGTTCATCACTTGAAACACAAACGAGTAAAGTACAAAATATTACCAAAGCGATGCAAATATTTAGGAAAAGTCTTCTTTTTTAGCATTAATGACATTCAATAAGTTGTATGGACTAAGATACATAAACGGAATACTTTTCCACAAAATTTTAGCTGAGTTCATCTTCTTTCATGTCATGGTACTGCATAGAATGAGAACAAATCGTTTATGACACTCACTGCGGCAAATCTTTCAATTCCACAGACAACGCTGTGAAGTCTGACTTGGAAAATACTTCTTTGGAATTTAATTTATTCTTTACTGCGATTTTCATCCGCAACTTCATCTAGGTCAACAACGTTTTGGCAAGCCTTAAATTCTCAGCAACAATTTTGCATTCATTATAAATTGCTGTCCACTGATCGACCATAAACTGCAAATTTAAAATAATTAATTTTTAAAAATTTGAATAATCCTCTGTACCACGGATAAATTACTGCATTGTGCCATTATTTGAAGCTTGATAGTGGTTCGATTGCGACTATTGAGGAGATTTAGACAGGATATTTCCTTAAGCTTAATGTCATTGAAGCCTAACATATATTATCGAAATCGTTACATATGGCTCTTTATTTTCTATATGTTCAAAATAATGTTTTACTTTATGATTGATATTATAAACAGTGAGAGATTAGATAAAAACATTAAAAACCAATTCCTACCTCCACTGACTTAAAAGTGGACGTTTTGCTCCCTATAGCATAAATTAATTTGATACTACAAATTAGTTCGTAATAGTATTTGTTCTTTCATATTTATTTGATATTTGCACATAAATATTTGAAATATGAACTATCTGTTTCTATACAGATTTACAAAAATATCTTATTTACAATTGTAGCCGTTAAGAACTGTTCAGAAATCTGAAAATACTTGTATTTATTTTGTTTTTATTACCAAATTTTGAACAGAATTTTAATTTTTACAATTTATAAAGGTACCTAATTTTAATTTTTCTTATAATTTGGAAAGTGATTACGATTAAACCTATATGTGGACTGTTTAGAAAAATCCAGCTAATACAGGTCACAACTAGGGCTACTTCTTCAACTCGTCCTAGTCAGTGGAAGTTTGCAAATATTCTACTTCTTATTATTGGGGATTCGTCTTATATTAGATATACAAACGTACCAAACGTACTGTGCATTCTAAACAGTCGCATGCCTTATCGCGATCAACAGTTAATGGAAGATGTCGTAATTAATAGCGAAAGGAGGAAATGGTAAACAAACGGCATTTCCGTTATTATACACATGTGTAATGATATATAAACATCCGTAGCGAAACCT